ACCATCCAAGTACCCAACAACAAGGTATAAAACTTTATAAATTTAACTTTTTATCATGTATCACAATTAATTATATGTTTATATTTATATAAGTTTTTTTATATGTTTAGGTTCAAGATACAACTGAAAGTATCTAACGACAATGGTGAAGCAACATTCACAATGTTTGATTGAGATGCTCAACAAATTTTAAACACAACATCTTCTGAACTCCTAACCACCCAAAATGAAAATACGATTGACATACCTCCAATCCTAAATAACCTTTGCAATCATAATTTGATTCTTGGAATCAAGCTTACATCTTACAACTTGAAGGAGGGATTTCAAAATTACACAATCAAAGAGACTTTTTATCCCAAAGAAAATTCCTCAAGATCTACCTCTTGACAAAGAAATAAAGTAGGTAAATATTCATACTTTATTTTAAATTTTTTTTTAATTATCTTAAAGAATCTCAATATTATTATTCACTAATTATTTTTTTAAAATTCAAACAAGTAGCATAAATCGCCACAGCTAATTTCTTTCTTGGATGAAAAACCCATTATAAGTACAAATAAACAACTATCCAAGAAGTCAAGAGATGGATATCATCAAATAAAAAGGCTCATTCAAGGAGAAAGACATCTATACAAATTGTTGACAATATATTCCTCAAATCCTATATCTCCATATCTACAAACCCTAAATATTTGGATTAAGGAACTCCATAGCCATCACTCTTGCGACTGCTCACCCCTTCTATTGCTTCATATAGTTATCATTTTCTATTAAAGCAAAAACCAATGGCTGCACCTCCATCACATACGCGCAATGGTTCCACCCAATTCAAGCATCTGTTTCGGAAAAAAAAAACCATGATGGCCACTTCTTCATCATGTATGCACAATAGTCGCACCTCCGTTTTAGATATTCATATAAAGAAGTAGGTGTGCTTTCTTCTAATACATACTCATTTAGTTAAGATAAATTTTTTTTTACTAATATAGTAAACCGAAATTTAATCATTTTTTTACTCAATTTGCTAAACTGAATCTTTTGGTTAGATTACTCATAAATTTAGATATTATGTCCCTCAAATTGTTCCTAACCATCACTTTGGTATATTAAATTCTTATCTTTATTCTAATGTTAACCACACTTGATGATGACTCTCCAATATGAAATGACACTGAAATTGAAGTTATAGTCTTCTTGGGTAGGATTAATTTAAACATGTGATATTTTTTTGTTTTAGTTTCATTCTATTTTGCGTTGAATTTTTATTTAGTCACAAATTTCTAATTCAACATTATTTTGCAGTTGAACTTTCATGGTAGATCACTAAGTTCAGATTCACAATTTCTAACACTCACTTTTGACAATTTTTATTTAGAATTGAAAATGACAATCGAATGTTTGAATTATAACTTTTTTTATTACTTTAATTTGTCATTTTACATATTTTCTACGAATTTAATTACTCCTTACTATTTTAAACATAAATAACTCTATTATCAATAATAATTTAATTAAAAATATCTTTTTTTCTAAACAATACTCTTGTTTTCAAATTATCTCTAATTAATTAATTAAAATTTTTATGTTAATTTATTATGAAAAATAGGATGTTACATACAATTGCATATTTTCCGTAAATTAAAATTTTATACTAACCCGGCGTAAAACTAGAAAACGGTGCCTAGACTGTATATATTGTCTCATCATCAGGTTATTGTCATAGCGTGGTTCTTTTGAGTTTGGACTTCGAATAATCCATGGTTATATAGAGAAAATGATCAACTTTTAGAGATGTAAAATGAATTGTGCTAAACAAAGTTCCATAAAGAATTATTAGTTTATGTAGTATCATGTAGGCTTTTATTGGACCTGAAACTTTAAATGACGGAGAACCTTGACCATTGAAACTTTGGTCCACTTCCACTTGCCTGTTGAAGTGATTCCATTTCAGATGTGTTTCTCTCTCTATTGATTATATGCACCCATCTTCCTCTGTGTTTTCCTGCATTCTTTTGCCCTACAAAATGATACATTAATTTATAACTCTCATGACTCTGTTAATATTATAATATCTCATTTTTTAAAATAAAAAATAAATAATTTAAAATAGTTAGAATATAATATAAGGAAAATATTTTATTAATAAATTAAAAGAAGAAAGCTAAATTAAAAGATTCTGGACAAAATAGTTAATTATTTCTTTTGATAAAATCAATTCAAATACGTCATAAATAATGTCGAGAATCGTGTTCCTATTTTATTTCCTATCATCCCGTGAGGAGGTTGTATTAAAAGTGGTCCAAGCTCCGATAAACGCTGGCTTCCTACTAAAACCACGTGATCCTGTAAAATGGCAACGTGCATTAAATGGTGTAGGCAAGAAAATAACACATAATTCTATAGTGACCACCCAATAATTATGAGTTCATAGATGGGCCTGAAAATGAAAATGAAGGAATGCATACTTTCTTCGTGAGCAAATTTCCATCTCATTCTACTATAACAAAATATCTTTTTTAGTGACATTTAATATGATTTTTAGTAACAATAAAAATTGCTCACTAAAATATTTAGCTATAATTATTTTAAATATTGGTAAAAACATTCATAATAGTCGAAAAAAAGTATATAACTTTTTGTAACATTTTTAATTTTTTAATTATCTTATCAATTATCGATCCCCTTAAGTTTAAAGACTGTTGAGTTTGATAATAATGAGTAATCTCATGCCAACTTAGAATAGTAAGTTATATGTCTAACTAAACCCTACATAACAAACTTATAAGGTGAGAGTTATTAGATCCATTTATATACTCTTTAATTATTTTATATCTAGTCGATGTGGAACTAAATTTTTTCTTAATAAATAATTGTCGCTAGTAGTAAATTTTGGTGTAATATAAATACATTTTTAGTGATCATTATATATTAGTCACTAATACTTATATTAAATAATAAAATAAAAATAATTAATTTATTGTCGTTAAATAATTGTTGGTAAAAATAAATTTGTTGTAATGTTCATCATCTACCCAACGGCATACATCAAATGATTAACATTTAATTAGCCGTTTGATATTTATAATTTGCTAGTTTTTAATTTGAAAATTTTGATGAAAATTTTTCTTGTTAATGTGTTGGGTCGTGCATGTTTATTAATGAAGCTTTGGTTGAACACATATTTTTAATTGATAGTACGTATTAAGAACATTTTATTGAAATTACATATATAAAATGCGTGCTTTTGTTATAAGCAGACTGGAAAAGTGGAAATGGGGTCATTAATTAGATCATGATAAAAACCAAGGACGAATACAAAACATATAAATAAGCGGGCAATTTGTTTTAATAATATATTTAAATAAATACTAAATCATGTTATATACATCATATTATTTTTCTAGCTTAACCAATTTTATTTTAATTAATTTATAATAACACTTGATATTTATTTTAAAAGTTTAATAGTGATGCATTGTCAATATAAAAAGATTGTAAAATTTTTTTATATAGTTAATTAAATAGAAATTATAATTTATATGATTTTCAAGGTGATTATTATAAAAATTAATAAATTTATCATCTACGTTAATTGTGATTGGATAATATTGTAAAATAGATACTAACGTTGTATCATCATTAAACCTTTATTTTAAAAGTACAAATTATATTTCTCAAAATGATTATTTATTTGATTCTCACCATTGTTAAATAAATGTTTTTGCATGTCAATGGAAGACATATTCCATAATTACATATAGTCTTTCGATATTATCAATTTTGAAACATTATATTGATGCTTTTGTTTTATTGACACCGTAAATCCATTTAAAGAAAATGGTGGTCCATACCACAATTGAGATCCTTTATTGTAATTTTTATGGAGTAATAACTTTTTTTTGGACATTTAAAATTTACAAACATTTAAGTGACATTCTTTATTTTTCTCAATTTCTCACTTTTTTGTCATATTACATCACCAACTATATATATCAACCATATCAATCACCTAGTTATTTATATTCTATTTCTATCTTTTTTAACAAGTCTATTTAGGGGGATTTAAACACCATAAAAGTGTCATTTGTAATAAATAACACAAATGAGTTTAACACACATTATAACTCAAAAGATATATGAATTCTTTTTACTTATATATTGTTTAACATAAACAATTAATAATCATTTGTTTGTGTACTATCCGTATCGCGGAACCGGCATTGAAGCGCTAGACGACATTGGACGAGCGCTACAGAACATCGGCCAAAACAAGGGCTCACCATCTGAATGGATCATAACCGACCTCAGGCGCAAGGCCTAGATAAACCCTAACTCACACTAAGGTACATGCACTACTTATACGAGACTTATACACCCACAAAGACTAACTTTAGCATCGGAGTCTCTTTTGCAGGTATCACCACCACTTCGGAACAGCCGACGTACCCAGGGAAGGAGGCCCACCAATCTTGCCCAGCAGATCGTCCCTCACGACCGATCTCCGGTAAGAACATTTGGCGCCTACCGCAGGGCTGATCAAGACATCTCTTATCGTCACGCTTATGGTTTTCACTCAAAGCCATAGTAGACGAGTAACAGACGACCAAGACCACGCGTCAAGAATGGATGGAGAAGTGGCATTGAGACGGCTGATCGAGCAGGTCAATCAAATGCGACAACAACACGCTACCGACCTGGAGAACATGCGCTTCTGGCACGAAGCTGACCTAGCGGTGCTATGAGCTGAGAATGAGCGCATCCGCGCCCAGCTTCCTCAGAGCCCCCCTGATCAGCGCCCTCAACCAAGCAATCAACACGAGGAAGAAGGGCACTCAGTCTCCTAGCCACCGACTGCATCCAAGGTGGCGACCCATAGGTCTACTGTGCATCGGTCACATGTACCGACGCACAGGTCAGACCACGAAGTCAACAATGCACCCGCCCAGGCTCCAAGACATAAGGCGAGCATCCGCTGTCATCCTTTTGTTGACGGCATCATGGAGATGCCCCTTCCTTTTGGATGGAAGCCTCTCAACATCGACCGCTATGATGACACTACCGACCCAGATGAGCATATCGATCTGTATGTCATACAGGTAAACCTATACACTAACGATGATGCTATCCTGTGTAGGGTTTTTCTGACCTCGCTTAAGGGATCGACACTCGCCTGGTATACTCAATTGCCAGCGGGATCAGTCGATAGCTTCAACACTCTGGTGAGGCGATTCACGGTGCAATACGCAACGAGTCAAACTCATCACATCACATCCGCTACCCTGGCCAGCCTTAGACAGGGCGACGACGAACCATTGAGGACGTTCGTGAAGCGCTTTGCCAGCATCTCCGTCAAGATCCACAACCTCAACCCCGAGGTCGCCCTACACGCCATGCTCATAGCGCTCAAGTCAGGACCTTTTATTGACAGCCTTTGTTGACAACCTCCCACGGACATGGATGAACTCCGTGCCCGAGCTATAGGGTACATTCATAAGGAAGAGCACACTGCTTTTCGTGACCAAGTTCGTGGGAAACCACAGGGAAAGCTAGACCATGGCCACAAAGATAAGGTAAAAGTCACCAACGATAGCCAATTCAAGAAAACTAGGCTAAACAAAGGAGGGAGGTATGACTTCTACACCCCCTTGAACGCACCCCGAGTACATATCCTGGAGGAGGCCAGCAATACCAACTTGATTGCTCTGCCACCACCAGGGCATAGCCCCTGCAATGCGGACAAATCCAAGCATTGTTGATACCATAGAAACTATGGCCACACAACCGAGGAATGTCACACACTCAGAGACCTCATTGAGGAACTCGTCCAAGGAGGGCACCTAGGACAATACGTCCAACGACAACAAACTCACAGAGAAGGCTACCATGGGCGAGGACGAGGACGAGGCCGAGGTTCCGGCACTCGCACAGATCTACCCTCCATTTCTCAACAAAACAACGGCGGAGCACTGCAGGCCGAGGTAAGTAACAATGAAGGCACGACTCCCCTACGTGGAGTAATCAATATAATTGCAGGTGGCTTCGCAGGGGGAGGCTCTAGTAGCTCGGCGCGTAAAAGACACTTGTGGAGCATCAACAATGTCCATACTGCCACCTCAGCCTCGCACCGCAACACGCCACCCATCACCTTCACGGATGACGATTACACTGGCATTTGTCCAAACTAGGACGACCCCATGGTCATCGTAGTGGAAGTAGCTAATTGGGAGGTCCACAAGACATTGATCGACCAGGGAAGCTCGGCTGACGTCCTATACTGGCCGACATTCCTAAGGTTAGATATCTCCCACTCCCTCATTCAACCTCACATAGAACCCCTAGTCGATTTTGTAGGAAAATGAGTCCACACTCGCGGATACATAGACCTGCTAACAACCTTCGACACCCCTCCTTACTCAAGGAGGATCATGGTTAGATACCTCCTCGTTGAGGCCAACACGTCGTACAACATCATCATCGGCATGCCGACATTGAACCAACTTGGAGCTATGGTATCCACCATGCACCTGATAATGAAATTCCTAGGGAGCAACGGCAAAATCATCTTAGTTAGGGCAAACCAGAAGATAGCTTGACAATGTTATGCCGAAAGCCTGTAGGTTTCGCCATCAGAGGAGCACCAACGACGTGACCCCCCTACTATCGACAATGTTATGCCGAAAGCCTGTAGGTTTCGACAATGTTATCACTCAGGAGGACATCACTGACCCTGGACCCGAGGTTGGAATCCTATGACAACAAACCAAGTCCAATTGACTAGCTGGCCGACCTGAAAATCGGGAAGCTCCCCAGCCAATGCACCAAGATAAGCCAACACTTGAGCACAGAGTTATGACAACAACTTGAAGCCGAAATCTCAAAAAATTCCATCCTCTTTGCATGGTCCAGTGTCGACATGCCAGGTATAGACCCTAACCTTATCTGTCACAGGTTGGCAATCCACAGAGAGGCCAAACCGGTGGCCCAGAGAAAATGAAAGGTCAGCGGTGAGAGACGAGAAGCTATCATAGCTGAGATGCAAAAGCTAAAAAAGGCAGGGTTCATCCGAGAAGTCCGGTATACCATGTGGCTGGCAAATGTGGCACTCATTAAAAAAAACTCAGGAAAATGACGTATGTGCGATTACTACACCGACTTGAACAAGGAATGAAATCCTTGTTTATAATAGTTGTCTGGTGTCATTCCTTATTCAACCTTATTACTTTGGATTGTTTGCATTGTAATAATAGAGGAACAATGGTGCAAGTATTTAAACTACTTAAAATAAAGACTCTAATAAGAATGTTTAAGCCTTTAGTTACTTGGGTGCACAAAAATTTTCAGGTGACCTTGATATACCAATTTAATGTCTTTATTTTACCATGTTGTGTTAAATTTAAAAGTTTGGACACAAACTAGAAGGTTTTATTAAAAGAATTATGGAATTAAACTAGAGTACACATACAGAACACTTACACTAGCCTCTTCCCTACCAACGAGTTACCTCCTTCAAACCAGTTCTAGTCCGAAGGCCTATCACATATCCTATCTATGAATGCATGCATAAATATCATACAACACAGAAAAATCTAATCCCAACCTTCCCTAAGTGCACACTTCCAAAAGAATCGTCAAAGGGAAAAAGATTATTCAAACCTGTAATTTTAACACTCTGGTGGCACCTCCAATCAACTCCACTACATATATTTGTTCTAATGACATACCAGAATGCTCAAGCACCTCTTTCACAAACGTGAAAGCGATGTTTTCCAAATGTCTTCACAACGCTCTTCAAATTTCTCATGGTTTATTGTGCTCCTATAAAAAAAAATGAGCCATGAATGAAGAACCTTTAAGAATAAATATATAAACCCCAATGCCCAATCTATCTCCAAATGAGACACCCACTTAACCTAAACAACATCATCACCTTTATGTTCCCTCACGGTCGCAAAGGGAAACACCTCTGACCTGTCGTAACTCGAAAATTTCCGATCTTGCGACCTATGGTTTAAACATCTTTTTGAACGTCTCATCAATTAAGGAATGCCCAGACACCAGACTAATCCTTAATTAATGGTTTTGAAAATAGGTTCATGGAGTCGCCACCAATGTTTTACTCAAAACATTGGAAAAAAGAAAAGGTTTTTAAAAGACCAATAATGGCCTTAATAACCAGAATTGGGTTCGGGGGTTGGTTACGTGTACCTTGATAACCAGATTTGGGTTTGGGGGTCGGTTACATATAGGGAAGGTATTAAGCACCCCTACAACGCCCTAAATTGGTACCGTATGATGAAGATAATGTAATAAGAATTAATAGTTTAAATATTTAATCCCCTTTATTAAGGATTATTTACATGAAAAATAAATTACACGATGAACCCTAAGATATCTACATGATTGCGTTTATTATAGCAATATATGAAATAAAAAAAGAGAAAGATAGAACAAGAGATTGATGAGTAATACCTCGTAGCAAGCTTTATTAGATCTTCAACTATAGAGATTTTAAGTGCTTTGCGGCAACCTTTCACACTACAATATGCCTCACAAAACTCAAGAAATATAATAGGAGAGAGAGAGAAATTTTGAGCTCTAAAGAATCTTGGACGAAATTTTTTAGGCCTCGACAACTGTGCCCAAGAGGTCTATTTATAGGCATCAGAAGGGTGCCAGAATGGCATGTTCCAAATTTGGAATAGCAGTTCTGGATCTGAACGTTATGTGTTAAATTCTTACCCTGGAACGGCCTATTCTGAAACCAGAATGACCCGTTCTAGGGTTGAGATTAACACAAAAATGCATTTCTAGAACGGCCCGTTTCAAACTAGGTTTTTTAGGCGATTTAGCGGTTTCGAACGGCCCGTTCTGGTTTAGGAACGGCCCGTTCCAGCCTAAGATTTTTAGGCCTTTTGCCTGGTTCGGAACGACCCGTTCTAGTTTTGGAACGGGCCGTTCCAGACTAGGTTTTTAGGCCTTTTTTGTGGCTTGGAAAGGCCCGTTCTGATTTTGGAATAGCCCGTTCTGGGCCATTAAAACCAATTTATTTGGGCTTTAGGCCTTCTAATGTCGTATCCTGTTGTTTTCATGCTTCGGGAGCTCCTTCCCTTCATAATAGAGTCCATTTCCTTGTTTGTATGCCCTCGGACGAAATTGGGTGTCTACATGGCCTACCTTGTTTCTTCAGCCCCTTACCATTCGAAACAGCTCCGCCCACCGTCGCTTCAGTGAGAAGTCACATTGCGCGAGACATTTGCCAAAGCCACACGAAATGCAAGAGGTTGAGAGTTCTCTTCACAAGAGGTTGAGAGTTCTTGGAGGGTCGTCACTAAGAGGTTGCATGCGAGAATGTGTTGAGAACTAAGAGAGAACACGACGGTTGCACGAGATGTTGAAAGCTTTCGAGAATGTGGAGAGAATTAAGAGAGAACATGAGGGATGTGGGTGGGAGACTAAAGGGCGCGCATGAACTGAGAGAGAACGTGCACACGCTAATTTTAGGTCTCCATCTAAGTCGATTTTACACAAAAACTTTTATGGATCACTTATCATTTAAGTTGATTTTATAATAAACCATCATAGATATATTCGTGTAGGCTATTCTACTACGAGTATTGTCTAAATCGTCGTAGATTATGTTTCTTTTATTTACAAAAATGTCACCATGTCTTATTCTACATCTTTTTTCAGTAAACCATCTTAGATTGAGCGACTTTGATTATTCAAATTGTAGTAATGAGTTTTAGAGATTTATTTAAGACTAATAAAAAGTAATTCTATCTAATAGCATACACGCCAAATACTGGATTCAAGGTAATGGGAATGAAGAAGTAATTTGGTCAACCATCCAAGTACCCAACAACAAGGTATAAAACTTTATAAATTTAACTTTTTATCATGTATCACAATTAACTATATGTTTATATATATATATAAGTTTTTTTTATATGTTTAGGTTCAAGATACAATTGAAAGTATCTGACAACAATGGTGAAGCAACATTCACAATGTTTGATTGAGATGCTCAACAAATTTTAAACACAACATCTTCTGAACTCCTAACCACCCAAAATGAAAATACGATTGACATACCTCGAATACTAAATAACCTTTGCAATCATAATTTAATTTTTGAAATCAAACTATTACATCTTACAACTTGAAGGAGGGATTTTAAAATTACACAATCAAAAAGACTTTTTATCCCAAAGAAAATTCCTCAAGATCTACCTCTTGACAAAGAAATAAAGTAGGTAAATTTTCATACTTTATTTTACATTTTTTTAATTATCTTAAAGAATCTCAATATTATTATTCACTAATTATTTTTTTAAATTTCAAACAAGTAGCCTAAATCGCCACAGCCAATTTCTTTCTTGGATGAAAAACCCATTATAAATACAAATAAACAACTATCCAAGAAGTCAAAAGATGGATA